TAGGAGAGGGAGCGCCTACATTCTGCATGGCCAGATCGCGGCGTGGGGGACGTAGCCTCTCTCCGCGCATCGATCCGAGCGTGCAGTCCGTGGGCGGGCTAGACACCGCAAGATAAAGCGAGAGCGGGAGATACGAAGTTCAAGAAGAAAGATACAGTTACAATGGCGCCCGCCCAAAATTACAGTTACACACACGATTAAGGGCGCCGACGAATCAGAATTTCGTTGCAGCCGCACAAAGAAGCGTATAAGCAAAAAGTGCTGCGCGGCAGAAGAAAAATCCTAATTGCAAAATTCCTAAATTCCGATCTAATGCAAAGAGGGGGCATAAATTCCGAAAAGAAAACCCGAAGTTCCGAGAGTCGTCAAGGGCTCGATAAGATTCGAAAAAGAAATTACAAAAGAACGAAACAAAATTCTCGCGTGGTCTTCGCGCCTAAAATTCCACCGTAGCACCAGAAAGAAGTGACGTCAACTGTTATTAATCGCGCCTGGTCGGCGCGACAGCCACTTAATCAATCATCCCGGGACTTGCCCGGCCCTGAATCCAGCCATCTGAAAGGAGACGACCCAAAAAGGTCGAAGAAACGAAGACACCGTTGCAATTTCCCTTCAATCCCGATCTCCCATAATTGGCCCATCCTTCCCAGCTTAGGACCCCTCATTGTTACCGCGCAGAAGATCACGCGGAACAGAAATCGGTTCGTCACAGTGTAAACTTCGGAGGGGACTGGACTCCAAAACGGAAGTTTTCAAACTCCAACCCTGATCGCGCCCTAGTTTTTTGGAAAAAAAAAAACGAAGTCAGGAAATCAACCCCCCTCTTTCGAGCACATAAAATCCAAACTTCCCCGCACGCAAAGCCACGAGCTCTCATGTCCAAATTTGTTTTTTTTGGGTAACTACGGCGCAGTCGTGAAAGCAAATTGTAATTGCATTTGAAACTGCGTTTTAGCAGTTTAGTCAGGGCCCGAGTTTCAATTGCAGTTGAAACTCGGGCTGCCTTTCGGTAGCAATTCAGTCAGGGCCCTCGTCATTCGTTTTTGTGGTGCTCCCCGTGTTCCTCGTTCTGCCGAGGTGCCCTCACTGAGGGCATACTCACACAGGGACCCAAATTCCCAAAATCCAAAAAAAAAGGGAAAGAGGTCGGTCACACGGATCTACCAAATTCGCAAATGTACTATTCCAGTGCCCATTTGTCAGCGGCTTGGGAAGCCGCGGGGCAAGGGATTTTGCGATCACCTCTGGAGGTGACCGCAAATTCTTTTTTTTTTTTGTTTTTTTTTTTTCAAAAATTAACAAAAAATCGTTCACAAAAGTTCTTACACAATTTGTGGATGGCGCAGTGTGACCAGCCAAGTACCAAATCCCCATTTCTCCAGACGGCCGCGACCTTGTCCCATCTGAAAAGGTACAGCAGTGTGAAGTGAACCATGCCCAAAACCTCAAATCGACACTTCCAAAATCCGCATATTTTGCGGATTTGGGGTCGCCGTGTGAGTATGCCCTGAGAGCAGTACTCCAAAAAGTGTATCCAACTGCAATCACGGCCAAGGCTTGGACCCCACTGGCCGGCGGCTGGAAACTGGTGTTGGCCAAAAAAAAGTGGCCGACCGTGGTCGGAAACATTCTTCCTCATTTCATTGGGACCCCATTGCAGGCCGATAGTTTCGGCATTGAAAAAGTTTGGGTATACCCGAATAGGAAATCGCACCGGGGTGTTTCTCAAAAAGGCAAGCCCAGCGGGGCTGTGGTCCATGGTCTGCTTGCGCAGCCAATGAAGTGTCTACTAAACGCCACGATGTCCAGCCCGATCCTGAAAACTGTTTGACATGCCCCCCCCCCTTACTCGTCTGGAGCCGTCCTTGGAAATTGTTTGGAAACTCGTCACCAAAAATTTCCAGACCGCGAGCCGAGTAGAAACGCCCCGTCAGCTTTTCTACGACCTCTTTCCAACTGCAATGGGGTCAAAAATTCCTTTCCGGGCCGACTTTCCACGACGGTTTCCAACACCTGTGGGGTATGAAAAACACTTCCTCGCCAAAACTTTTCCACGCCACCGGCTAGTGGGGTGTGACGAACCACTTTCTGTAACGCGCGACTTTCTGCGCAGTTGCAATGAGGGGTCCTCAGTTGGGAAGGTTGGGCCAATTGCGGGAGATCGGGATCGGTAGGAAATTGCATCAGTGTCCTTGCTTTTTCGTCTTTC